CTTTTTTCTCTAACAGACTAATGAAGGGAATTTTAGTACATTTGCACTGGTCGACTGATTGTTGCAAGCTTGACTTTCAGTTGATCAAATGAGGTGAAATAAATCAACAAACTGCCAAAAGAAAAATTTACTTAGATTTTGCCCATGAAATAAAAATGTCTTCAGTTTCTAACGTAAGTTCTATACAATGGCCTAACATCTATATCGTTTAAACATTGAATTATTATATTTTATATTATACTTATATGCTAACTTTAATTAGATGATTAACTTTTATGGAGTAAAATTATTATGATAGACATAATTTCACTTATAAAACTAAATGTGAAAAAAACATCGCATCATATCCATTTTAATTACTAAAATTAAAAACCTAAATTCTTTAAGCTCTTAAGAGTGTCAAGACACAGTACCTAACCCAGAGGGAACTGGCAGGTTCATTGTGAGAAGTAAGATAAATATAGCAGAAAAGAATGTAGATGAAAAATGAAAACTCAAAATATAGAAATTTAAATACTAAATAAAAGACGTGGAACTTTTATGATGGTCTGAAGGTATTTTCAACCTCTGGTAAACATGAAAGAGTTCTTGAAATATGGAGACGATATTTTTTTTTTAAAACTTTTTTCTAAGAAGCTGGGCAGGAAAAGTCTTCACTAACTCTAAAGTAGTATGATGTGTTTACTTTTAGCTAAACTGAAGATGGTGATTGGAGCAGAGGGCGGTAGAGGTCATGGAATCATAGCGGGAGGAAAGATTAGCCAAGTGTCATAGGATATTAATGACTTGTAGGCATAAAATGCCATTGTTTAGTGGTGGAAACAAGTCCAACCAGAAAGATGAGGGGGAGATAGAAGGTCAGCCCAACTGTACCCATCGGTCCTGAGCCTCAGAGCAGAGCCTTGTGCAGTTTCATACAACTTCCCATACAAAGCAGCTCAATTTAGATGTTCTTCTTTTCTTCTGGATAGAGATGTGGCATTTTCAGCTCAGGAGGATTTCATATTAAGGAGATAGAAACAAGTTTGCAAATATAGTAAAACCTTGGTTTGCAAGCATAATTTGTTCTAGAAACATGCTGGTGATCCAAAGCACTCCTATTTCAAAGTGAATTTCAAGAACCATTGGCTCAGCTGTGATCACGTGATGTTGTTTAGCATCGCGTCCAGCTGGTAATACAAGACATTATTTTTTTCATCAAGTTAAAACGTGTTAGAAATGTTTGCTCATCTTGCAGAGCACTCACAGAACAAGTTACTCGCAATCCAAGGTTTTACTTTATATAGTTTGATTTTGTGGTTGGTCAAAGGATCTGAGGGTAGAAAAAGTGAGGGAACAAGACTGGAACAGCGGGAGAGGAATGGAAGAAAAAGATAAGCAGCCTGTGGGGGAAACAGAGACAGGAAAGTGGGAGGGAAAAAGTGCAGAGAAACAAAGAGAAGGGAGAATGACAGGCAGGCGAGCAAACAGAAAGGCTCAGTGCATTTCAGAGGTACTGTGCTCTGCACTTGACTTGAACTGTGGGCTCCAAATGCGACCATTTGTTTTCTACTGTTATTCTGAAAGCTTGATGAATTCAACACCATTCACAGCTCTTCAACTGCTTGAGAACTTCTGTCCTCGAGCCTCCATTCCTCATCAGGCAACAAGCAGAACATTCTGGCAAGGGAAAAGAAAAACTTAACCACTGTAACAGTAATCAGAGTCTTAAGAAAATTAAGTCTTAAGAAAATCAAATCAGTGGGTCACATTCTCTCATCCTAAGTTGCTCTACCCCTGCTTTGAAGATGGGGCATTGAATTTCAGCTGTCTTTCATGGTAGGATTTGCAATCGACACTGGATTTCCTATAATAGAAAGATTTTGAACTGTAAAAAAAGATATTTTGAAATATGTCTTATGATCTCCCTTCACTTGAGACATACAAACTACAAAAAGGAAATTCACTCTAAATCATGTGTGAAATTAGCTGAGAAAAATGGTAACTGTGAAATAACATTTATACGTTTAGTAATGCCTTTTACAAGATAGAACGTCACACTAAGCCCCTGACCATGAACATGAGATGTTTGTATCATTGTTGGAGTCTGTTCTCACTCTTTCCGGGAAACCTCCGATTCTGATATTCTAGTCAGTTCCAAAACTGTTTATCTTTTTCATATTAGTGTAAGACATGATATTTCAGAAAGAGTAAATTCATTTTACCTTTATTTGTAGCCAGTTAAAAACGGATTAGCCTTTGTGTATTATTCATGTGGTCTGTTCACATAATCTTTATGGATTGCTGAGATGTCATTGCATTTGCCACCCAGTTATTTAATGCAGAACAGACATTCCGATTTGCTACCGGAACTGCCCGTCTCTAATATTTTTAATTGTTTTCCCTGATCCTAATATTGTTGCTCAATTTTTTGTATGTGTATATATACACATTCTTTTGTCACCCGAGTACACAGTTTGGGCATGGGCATTGATGGCATCAAGGATACATGCTGTGAGGTGCCTATCATGTGCAGGTACAGTGCAGGTGCAGAAAAGGTGGGGCCAACAGTTCCTCACCTTACAGAAACCAAACTTAAAATGAGAAATACAGATTTTCTTACTCTGTTCAGATCTATTGCCCTGTAGTGAGCACTTCACCTAAACCAGCTCACTGAGTCATCATAATACTGCCTGTGATACTGTAGATACTGTTATCCTCATTTTGTAGAGTAAGAAATTGAGACTCGAAGAATTTAAGTGATTTACCCAGTCATTGTGGCTCTTCTTTATTTTTGTAAAAATAGGTATTTTGGGGACCTGAGATGAAAGTATTTACTCAAAATATTTCTGTCACTATGTAGTTGAAAAAACTCTCAAGTCAACTGTATTTATTGGCCATATATGAAATACTTCTTATATAGTCCATCTACTTTTTTTCCACAAATATGACTTGTTTTCATTTGAGAGGATACTTGGCTTCCAGATGGAGAAATAAATTCAACTCACAGGAGTGGAGAAATCAGAGACATTGCAGACATTGGTTGTATCTTAAAAGAGAGTTCTAATTATAAGGACCTCTTAAATCTGGGAGTTTTTCCCTTTGGTATAAAGGCATTGACTGTGAAACATGGTGTTTTGCATTACAATTGGTGTTTTGGAGGTATTGCTTGAAACTCCATGATTTTCGGCAAAAACATTACAGGGGCAGATCAAATAAGAAGATGCTTGCTGCTGCAGATCAAAATAATAGATTAACAAGAGGGAATACTAGAGCAGTAGTGTCTTAAAGAATTAGGAGAAAAGAGCTGTGGAACAAAAGACTACAAACACAAACACACATACACACACACATTCTGACATATACTATGCACACACAAATATATACATACACAACATGTAAATAAACACATTTTAGGCAAGTCATTCAAATAACCCCATTTATGCATTTTTCTGGCCATATACATTAGCCCTACTTGGTCTTTTGTCAGCTGTTTTGTGGAAAACAAAGAATTGATCCATTATTTAACATTTATTAAACCCTCACAATCTATGAGCACTGTGCTTCAGTGACAAGGATACAACAGACAAGATACTTTTTGTCTTTAAGAATTCCCCATGTCCTGTGGGAAAGGTGTTATTGCAGTGGTATGATGACATAGAAGTGACATTCACAGAGCTTCATGATCCTAGAGGAGGGATATCATGGAGGCCTTATTTGGAAGATATGATGTCTGAAATGGGTCTTGAAGAGGAAACAGCAGTTAGTCAAAAGGAAATGGGAGGGGCGACTGGGTGGCTCAGTTTGTTAAGCATCTGACTTTGACTCAGGTCATGATCTCCCGGTTCCTGGTTTCAAGCCCCACATGGGGCTCTGTGCTGACAGCTCAGGGCCTGGAGCCTGCTTTGGATTCTGTGTCTCCTCTCTCTCTCTCTCTCTCTCTCTCTCTGCCCCTCCCTTGCTCACTCTTTCTCTCAAATAAGTGAATAATAACAAAAACCAAAAGGAAATGGGAAAGCTAGAAGCCCTTGCAGAACACAGCATGAAGAAAGTTCCAGGAACTTGAGACAGAAGGATGTGTGTAGTCTGGGATTGCTGGAATATAGTGATGAAGGAGAGATGAGAGGTGAGGGTGGAGAGGTAGGCCAGATCTAATAAGGTTAACTGAAATTTTATACTGCTGAGAATGATGAGCCTTTGTAGGATTTAAAGCATGGGAAGGTCAAGTTTGTATCTTAGCAGATCATTCTGGTAGCTGTATGGAGAATGGTTTTTAGGTTGACAACACCAGAGTTTGGGATCCAGTTTAGGAAGCTGTTGTAGAATTGTAGGCAAGAGATGCTGAGGGTTTGAACCAAAATCATGGTTCAAGGGTGACAGGCACTGGGTAATGGTAGTGGAGTGCTTAAGCAATGTTTAGAAGGTACGGTTGGTTAAGGCCTGGTGCTTATTAGGATGTAGACACATGGATTAGGATTTCTCAGAGTTTAGCTGGGATAGCTGGGTGTGGGTATGAGGAGAGCCAGAAATCTGAAATGGAGAAGGGACAGGAACTGGTGGGCAGGTTGGAGGTGTGGTCAGTTTAGTTCAAGGTGTTTGTGGTTCATCTAGAACGAGCTGTTCAACACAGATATTTGAGCCTAGAGCTTGAGAAAGTGGTCTCTGGTGATAAATTTGGGAGTTGCCAACCTCTAGATGTATAAAATCGAATGCACAGCCTCTTCTGTGTGTGTAGTGCATTGTTTTGCCTTTTCCTCTTTTCTCCTATCTTAAGGCAAAGATTCCCATCTCCATCAATACGTGGTAATTAATACCATATATACCTCCTGGTTGTGCACGAACAACAAAGCGATCCCAGAGAATGGGAAATGCCTTAGGAAAGTGGAAGTAACTGATTGATTGTTGCTTTTTTCCAGTTGTGTTGGTGGACATGCCTGCCTCAGAGGGATATCGCTTCAGCTGACCCTCCCACAGCTCAGACTTTTTGAGGATCCTGGCTGTGTGGCTTTGCCCGGTTCAAAATGGCAGAAAAGGCTCCCCCTGGCTTAAACAGGAAGACTTCAAGGTCAACGCTCTCCCTTCCGCCGGAACCTGTGGACATCATCAGGAGCAAGACGTGCTCGCGGAGGGTGAAAATCAACGTGGGGGGCCTCAATCACGAAGTGTTGTGGAGAACGTTGGACCGGCTGCCGCGGACGCGCTTGGGGAAGCTCCGGGACTGCAACACGCACGAGAGCCTCCTGGAGGTGTGCGACGACTACAACCTCAGTGAGAACGAGTATTTCTTTGACCGGCATCCGGGGGCCTTCACTTCCATCTTAAATTTCTACCGGACGGGGAAACTCCACATGATGGAAGAAATGTGTGCGCTCTCTTTTGGCCAGGAGCTCGATTACTGGGGGATTGATGAGATCTACCTGGAGTCCTGCTGCCAAGCCAGGTATCACCAAAAGAAGGAGCAGATGAACGAAGAACTGAGGCGGGAGGCCGAGACGATGCGAGAGCGGGAGGGAGAAGAGTTTGACAACACCTGCTGCCCGGAGAAAAGGAAGAAGCTCTGGGACTTGCTGGAGAAACCTAACTCGTCCGTGGCTGCAAAGGTATGAAAAGCGGGGCGTTGCTTCCCTGTGTGTGGTCGGAAAGGTGTTGCCTACTTCCCAGAGAGCGCGATTGTCTTCGTTTCAGGTGTTGTGTGGCTACAGGGTGAAAGACACTTTCCAGAAGCTTAGAGACTCAGAGTTATTCTTCCCATGTAATGTCATCCGATGGCATTGCTCTTTCTTAAATATGGTTATTGGGTAGGAACAGGCCTGGGCAACAGAGGCTTTGGAAGGGTTCTGGTTTCCATGGTGCTGTGTGGTGGTGGTGGCTAGAGTTTGAGGAGACAGCCCTCACTGGGGCCATCACATGCAGAGTCCTGCAGAAGGCTGGGGCCTGGGCCCCTTGGATAGAGGCACGGTGCTGTCACTGAGGTTGGAGGAGGTGCCTCCTGGCCTGGTTCTTTAGAGGATCATGGTAAAGAGAGAGTATGGCCCGGTGTTGTTGAGAGGGCTGCAGGAGCAGGGTGGTCTATGCGTGAGGAAGAGGCCATCTTATGAAGCTGTGCAAGGTCACGCAAAGTCAGCGTCCAGAATGCATCCATTTACCTCCCTTGTGAAGTCTACTCTGACAATAATGTTTCGTACTGTTGGTGTATCGTTTTTTTCCACAACTGAGGCGTTACTCTACCTCAGAGTTCATCCTGTTTGCTTAAAATGAAGGTAAATTCATGTTTCCACTGTAGCTGCTTATGTCTAGATCTCAGAGTAAGTTTGTTTTGTTTTGCCATGAATTGCAGCATTTAATTCAAATGCATGATTCTGTTTGTCTAATTTTATTTAGAGCTTTGGGGGTTAGTGCAAACTGATTTTCATCCCATATATTTAGTACTGTATTGCAATATGAATAATGAATAAAGTGTCAAGAGTCATCTTTAGCTGCAGAAGCATAGTATTGGTATTTTGTGCATAATAGATGAAAATGGAATGTGGAATAGAGAGAAGAAAAATAGCAGAAAAACGTGTCATCATATGAATTCTTTGAATTACTTAGAATTTTTTCAATTATTATTTCTTAAAAACAGTAAAGATTATGGAAGTATAATAGGCCATATGCACCATTTGGCTGGAAATTAAGATCCTATCTGATAATCTACAACATGTAAATAGTGTATACAAATGAACTGAATGCGGATGGTCATAAAACCGCCTCTGCATTGTTTGATATGCCTAGTTTTGCATCTTGTTTTCTTCTAGAGGTGTTTTACCTTGTGGCCAGGACATGGAAATAAGTGAAATAAAATAGAGTTCTGTTGTACGCGATGAGGAGAATGCACATCTTACAGCAAATGGACAGATTTCAACTAGGTCTTTTTGTAGTTATGAATAATTTGTTTTCTTTTATCTGTAAGAAAGAAATAGATGTGCTACACTTGTGGGTTTTGGTTGAGAAAGGTTACTGCTCTTTCTAGCATCAAATATTAGGTTGCATATTTGAGTCACTGCTAAAAGTATGGAGTGAATTTTGAAGATGAATGAGATTGTTTGGAGGTGTTAAATGAACTCTTTCAAGCCTGTAAGCAATTGAGGTCAAAATCATCGTTCCATCAAATGTTCCAGAGGGTGGTAGCCAAATATGTAAAAATAAGCAACTAAATCACAGAAAATTTGAAGGTTAATATGGCTTATTTGCTTACAACAACATTATTAACAATTAGGTACTGTTAATAGAAAAAATCTTAAGGTACACACATTTGTTTTTCTGAAGAATTTCTATTAAGGATAGAATAGGGTCAATAACCTGATTTCCCAGATGAGGGAGTTCATTTAATGCCTAAATTTTAGACAGCCATCTCTTCATCTCTAAGAAGGTAACGATAATGGCCTATTACATTATGCTATTATATACCCCTACGCATCAGATAGATTGTTGAAACTTGCTTCAAATTAGATATCAGATAAGATATCTACCTACACTTTATACCTAGCAGCTAAGGACATTGTTTTGGAAATTTTAATGTAGTTATAAATAATAAATTTGTTTCCAAATTATTAATCAAGCTAAGCAAATCTTTGCTAACCTGCGTAGATTCTTTACTAAACTTTCATAAAGGGTTTGTATTTGTTTATTTAAATATCTACATTTTCCTCTCTGTTTGAATGGAGAAACATTATGGAAGTTATTTACATTTGATTATATGGTAGTTTAGTGAAAATATTGTTCATTTGTCTGAGGTTTGGAACCTTTTAAAAACAGCTCTGCACGATGTCTTATATAAACCACTACCTTTTCCTGTACTCTTCTCAAATCATATAACTTGTTATTTCTCTAGAATAATTCGTGGTGAGGTGAGTGCTATGTGTGAATAGTATTTTTACAACTTAGGAACAGTTTGTTTTGTTAAAACTGCAGTAGGATGATACTCCAGCCCTCACTGTTTGTGTGATGGGTACATCAGGATCCTGCTTATACTATGAAGCTCTTGGTTGGAATGCTTGGAATCTATGTGTTTTTCCTGACTTGCTCAGGAGGTGAGATATCTTTGGAGGAGAATCTGTTCACCTTGTGATTACTATGATTGCTTGTTCAGTTTGATAATTCAGTTGAACATATATAGAATTCTCTCTGTGGGTTACACACATTAAAGTGAACATGTAGAGGGGCATCTGGGTGGCTCAGTTGATTAAGCGTCCAACTCTTGATTTCAGTTCAGGTCATGACGTCACTGTTCCCAGGATCAAGCCCCATGTGGGGCTCTGAGTTGACAACATGGAGCCTGCCTGGGATTCTCTCTCTCTTCTCTCTCTCTCCCTCTCCCTCTCTCTCTCTCTCTCTCTCTCTCTCTCTCTCTCTCTCTCGCCCTGTGCCTCCCCGGCTCTCACACACATATGTTCTCTCTCAAAATAAATAAACATTAAAAAAATAATAAAATGGACATGTAGAAAGACACTCTTTTCTTCAGAATTTAAAAAGTAATCTCTTAGCTTAAACAGGTATTGCATATCCTTGAAAGTGGTGTTTTTTTCTCTTTTGGTTTTTCTGTATTTTATAATTAATATTTCTATAGTAAAGAAAGTTTAAAAGTTATGAATTTACTTACCAAATCCCTGGCATAAAAGGAAAAACTTGACCTTTTATGTCAAATATTCCACAATAGGTTAAAATTTATTCCAGTGACATGGAATAAATACTCCATAATCACTTCAGTTATCATGCCATAATCCATGCTACGTGCATCCGCTGTGATACACAGCATCACAAAGCCCATTGACCTGTTGTATTTTGTCTTTGGGCATGACCCTGAAGGTAACAATTTGGCTGTTAGAGAACATTCTTCCTGGTGTCACTTCTATTAATTGAACTTTGTAGTACAGTAATCACTGACAACCATGCCAAAGCAGAGTTCAGAAGGATGGTATATTTTAAATGTCTATATTTAACAAATAGACATTTTTACACATAAACAGCATAACATGGAATAGAATTGTACTTTTCACAAAATAATAAAAGGGCTAATAGAAATTGTTGTTTCATAGTTTCCTGTGGTGTGGTATGATCTGGTACTGGACACGAGCTTATATCTGTATGATGGACTTTGTGTTCTTTCGGTCTCATTAGTCAAGTACCTGGGTAACTGAATCCCCTTGCATAGAGACAGGGGACAAAATTTAACCTTGAGGCTGTTTGTGAATGTAGGACCCACCAACTGGATGTATGGGATGGTTGGCCCAACTCTCTGCATTACCATGACATGGAATCCTGGTGCTGGCATGCGTTTCATGGGAATGTGCAAGGGGAGAAGATGGGCCTTGCTGGCTGCCAGTTTCCTGGGCAGTGAATTGGAATTAGACTTGATCCTGTGCCTCTTCCAGCCCTGGGCAATTTAGGCAGCCTCTGCCTTGGAAACATTTTTCTCCCTTCTCTTTGGCCTTTTCCCAAATGGACTGCAGGAGCTGTTCTCCTTTAAATTTTGCACTAGAGAAACTTTAGTCCAAGAGGTGTTTGAAAGCATTTAAGGGAGGTGGATCCTGTGGCAGGTGGTATTGGCAGCCTTTGGGATGAAACAATAGCCAACAAGGAGCATGGCCCACCTGAGAGCCGAAAGGAAAGAGGCTCAGTACTATACAGTGCTTTCACTTTAGATACCTGAAGAAGGTCAAGGACAAAGGAAGCCAGCTGTCTTCAGGCAAAGCCAGTTAGGAAACGGCTGAGCCTTTGGAGGCAAGCGTCAGCCAGGGCACATAGGTGTATGTGGTGCTCAGGACAATGCCGGCCAACAGACCCATCTCGAGTCAGGTCAGGAAGCTGGACGATAAGCAGCTCTTATTTGATAAGAACAGTATTAAGGCTGCAGAAAGATATTTCTGTTCATCTGAACAAGTGCAGTGAGAGCCACCCAACAACCCTGTTGGGCAGGGTTCCAGGTCGAGTGGGGGCAGGGCACCGCTTATCATCTGCTTCCCCTTCTCACTTTTCCTATGTATCTACAGCCACCACTTGCTTACCTAAGGATCCCTCCCTCATCCTCTTATGTTCTTCCCATTCTCTCCTTCTCCATCCTGCCTCCTCGCCTCCTCCCTTCCTTCCTCTCTCCACTGCTGCCTCTACCTCCTCCCTCAGGAAAGGGAAGCAGATTGACTAGAGAATTATTTCTCAACCTTTTTTTGTTAATGGCCCCCCTGCGGACAAAAATTAAGTTAAATTTAAATTCTCCCTAAAGACAGAAACTAAATACTAAGGAATAAGATTTTGTCAGGTAGGGTGGAGCTTGGACAGCTACAGATTATTGTAATATCTAAGATGTTTTTTTACCCTTGCCCACAAGGACCAATTTTCTCCCTTTGGCAGTGACATTGATCCCATGGAGAATGCATGCAACAGGAGAAAGGAGACTGTGTTTCCCGCCTCCAGCTCATTACCTCCACACATGACCTTCACCACATGACCTTCACCATTGACATGGCACAGCATGGCACCTAAAGCAGGCGTGGGAAGGACTGGGAGACCATAGACAGTTTTGGGTCAAGAGGGAGGCCAGTAGTAGCAGATGAAGAGAGTCTGT